TTTATATATATTATCTGTAATCTGCACAAATTACAAAGTAGGTGGTATAACCTCCATTTTACAGATGAGAAAATTAAGATTAAGGGTGTTTAAAGTGACTTGCGCATGGCGACACTCAGGTCTGAATTCAGATTGGTATGAATACATAAGTCTGGTTCTTCTTGCCACACTTTGATGTCTGCTTTCATGAGTTACTATATTTGTTTCATCTGAACAGTGTAATTATAGACCTCAGATCTTTCAGCCCTGCTAGCTACTGCTAAGGAACCACTTTTACTGAAAAGAGAGTTAACTAAATAAGGCCATTGGCAATCTGACTGAAGTTACTTCTGTTCTTGGCCCTTGTATACGAAACATCTTACTATATTTCTTTACATGAGGTAGATGCAGCTTAAAATTATAGTGTTGCATTTGTTCCTTTCCTTAAAAGAACCCCTTCCGTCTCTTCAACTCCAATCTCTTGAGCATGGACAAGAAGAATTAGAAGCTGTGTTGTCTCATGATAGTTATGTAATCTTTTGAGGTGTTCTGGCTTCAGTTGTGAGGACTTACCCTGTGTTATATTTACCTGACTTTACATTGATATTGATCTCCTCAGTTACTGGGGTTTTATCACCCATGCAGATGGTGCCTATTCCTTCAAGTTATTCAGTTATTTTTTATTTTATTTTTTATTTTTGTGAGGAAGATCAGCCCTGAGCTAACATCCATGCTACTCCTCCTCTTTTTGCTGAGGAAGACCGGCTCTGAGCTAACATCTATTGCCAATCCTCCTCCTTTTTCTTTTTTTCCCCCCCAAAGCCCCAGTAGATAGTTGTATGTCATAGTTGCATATCCTTCTAGTTGCTGTATGTGGGACGCGGCCTCAGCATGGCTGGAGAAGCGGTGCCTCGGTGCACGCCCGGGATACGAACCCGGGCCACCAGTAGCGGAGCGCTCGCACTTAACCGCTAAGCCACGGGGCCGGCCCTTATTCAGTTATTTTTATTTAATTTTATAAATCGGGAGTTCCCTTGAAGATGTATTCCTGCCATCGTGGGCAGTGTAGCCTATTTTACTTCTCTGCCATTGCTTCATTATTCATAAAAATAAACTCTGCCAGGATTTCTCTGACTTTTTGTATTTTCCTGAAATCAAATCTCAATTTTTGTTTTAAACAGCACAATGTTCTGTATATCTTGTGGGTTTTTCAAAACCTTATTTCCTTCAAAGGAAAATTATACCCAGATTTGCTAGGAAAATATGATGATGATGTCTGTATCTCTTTTACCACATCTTTTTACCAGATGTACTTTTTACCAAATGTACTTTCATTTTATGAGTTTCACTTCAAGGAGCTTTTTTTGTTGGGTTTGGGTTTGGGTTTGGGTTAGATTTGTTTTTGTTTTTGTTTTTTTTCTTCTAGGTACTAAACCCTAGACCAGATTATTTGTTTCTTTCTCTCTGACTTAAAGCGCTTTGTATATACAGGTCTGCAGTCTCTATTTGATAATTCCAAACTCCAAAATGCTTGAAAATTTTTTAATAGCTTCTGTACCAAAACTCATTTGACAACAACACTTCTCTTGAACTGACATGAAGCTATATGTAATTTTTGTTTATCCCACTTCTAGTGTGAATATTCATATGTTTCACTGTTTGGTTATGGGATGCTGCCTCTAATCTCCCTGGTGGTGTTGCATAACATATGGCATATTGTGTTACCTTTCTAAAATCCAGAAGATTTTTATGTCTGAAACATTTGCCCTAAGTATTTTGGGTCAGGGATTGTGGCCCTATGTCTATATTAATGGCACTGATTACAGTGTGCTGTGCTATTTGTTCCCTTGTCTGTCTTCCTTATTAGATTCTGAGCTAAGAAAGGTTTCTGTTTGGGTTCCACAGACCCTAGTTTACTGGCCTAAACAAAGTGGGTACTTAATAGTGAAATTGAATACCGTTAGTTGGGGCAAACTTTTACCAGGTAGGTTGTTGAACTACAGATTATAACGTGTTTTTTTCGCTTACTTATATGTTGTTTTCTTTCTTCCTACTGGAATCTTGGCCTCACCATTTACTAATTATGTGATCTTGAACAGCTTACTTAACACCTCTGTGTGTTAGTTCATTCATTGTAAAAATGGTGTAGTAATTTTGCCTGCCTCAAAGCATTGTTGTGAGGGCTAAACAGAATGCTTCCTGGATAGCACTCCTTTTGCTGCTAATGTAGCTGTTATTGATTCATATCCTACTGGTTACTTTACTAACAGATGGTCAACCATTCCCTTATTAATGAACTCTGAGGTAATTTTCAGTGCTTTGACACTTTTAACAATGCTGGAGTTAATCCTAAATTAATCATATGTGTCCCTAAGTCCTTGTGGCCTTATTTTTGTCAGATAGATTGAAGTGGGATTGTTGGATCATTGGCAACTAATATTTTTCATTGTAATGGGTGCTTCCATGTTACTTTCCTAAGGAAGAATTGAGAAATGAGGGAGAAGGTAGCAGTTTTCAGTTCCACCAACGGTCCATAAGAGTGTTCATTTGCCCACAATCTTACCAGCAATGGATTTATCAATGCTTTTTTTTTTTTTTAATTTTAAAGTAATTGTGGACTCAGAGAGAGTTGTAAAAATAGTCCCATGTATACCTAACACAGCTGCCTCCAATGGTAACTTATAACTTATTCCAGCTTCATACGTTTTCTATAGTTTTGTTGATCATATTTTTTTCCTGTACAGAACTTTTTATTTTTATTTAGTCAATATGCTTCTCTTTTGTGGTTTTTAGGTTTTCGCTCTTATGTAAAAAGTTTTCTCTATCCTGTAGGTTATACTGTTTTCCTTTAATACCTTTTACTTTTTACCTTTTGGCCTTTAATCCATTTGGAATATGTTTTTGTATATACTGTGAGAATTATTTTCTCCAGATGTTCAACATGATATGCCAGCACTACTTATTAAATAAACTATTTATTTAGGACTCTTTCAGTTGCTCATGACTTAAAACCTCAACAAAATTCCAAAGGTAGGACTGACTTAAGGCAAGGCTTGATACAGTGGCAAAGGTAATATTGCTGAAAGAAATGTTGCCATTTTTCTCTTTTCTCAGTTCTGCCTCTTTGGGTGTTGATTTTTTTCCTATAATCCTTACCTAGCTGTTTCTCAGTCCTGTGTGTTATTCCACCCCAATTCCAGATACTTCTTGCATCGTCACGTGATGACTGAAAGTTTTAGGCATTACTGCCTCATACTACTCAGGGGAAGAGAAAGGGTCTCTTTCTGAAGCTTCCCTGGAGAGGGAGTTTCGTTTTGCAAATGCCCAAGTAAATAGCTCCTTAGATTGTTGACTGTGATTAAGTCATGTGTCTGTTACTGAATCTGTCACTTGAGGGGTGGGGGATGGGGTGCACACAGAAATGGTGATTGGCTTTTCCAACCAGGAAATGGCTGGTTTAACAGTTTGGATTGACATCTCTGATAAGCATGGGATTAAGTCTGTCTCAACCACATGAGTGAGAGTGGGAGAGGGATCATGTTCCACAGGAAATTTCAGGTACTGTCTTTAGAAGAAGAGGGAACAGATACCAGGTATTCAAACCCCAGGTGACCATGTCATGACCCCATCTTCTTCCTACTACACAGAAATAGTACCTTTTACATTTATTATAATCTGTTCTGTATTTTCTGTTTTATTTCACCAGTAATCTAGAAGAGTGCTCATTTGCCTGTTTATCCTGTCCCAGAAACATTGCTTCAATAATAGTGGCTTAGAGTACATTTTAATATCTTGTTAAGCAAGTCTCTCATCATTTTTTTCCCAGAAATTTCTTGGCAATTTTTATGTATTTATTTGATATAAACTTTGGGGTTCTGGCTAGAATTGCATTATGTGTATTTTTAACACAGAAATATCCGAATTAGATAAACATAACTATGAAAAATCAACCTGGAAACACTCAATACTTTCTTCAGGAAAAGATTTTTCTTTATTTTCTTTGTTGTCCTTCATCCTTTTTCCAGTTTTTGACTCCCTTGATAACTTGCACAGTACTGAAAGACAGGACCCATGGTCCTGCTCTCCTCCAGAGAGAACTCTATTTTTAGGTATACCCAAGATATCTAGCAGCCTCTTCTAGTAGGCTTATTTGGGTTATTGAGTAGTACCAGCAGAGAACTGAGAGGGAGAAGAACTAGAAATGTGCAAATAAGCTGCCTTATCCCTCATATATTGTGAGAATTTTTTTTTTAATTTAAGAATGCCATGCATCTCCATTTATATGTTAAGTGTATATTAGAATTAGTAAACATTTAGTCAAGTTGCCACGTAGAAGATAAATATTCCAAAGCCCACTTTATACTCTTTTAAGTGATCTCATGATAGGTCCAAATAGAAGAGACTATTGCAATATATACAAGTATGGAATCATGTTGTACACCTGAAACTAATATAATGTTATATGTCAATTATATCTCAATAAAAAAATAACAAAATAAGTACAAGAGACCATGGAAATGTGTTCGTTTCACAGCTCACATTCAGTCTGGTGCAGCAGTATGCAAGGAGATTAATATTGTTTATTTGAATCTCTGTGTGTCCTCCCCTCCCCCCCATTTTATTTCTGGACATTTAAAGCTTGTACTAAATGAAATAGTCTATTTTTTTTTAATTTCAGCTTTATTGAGGTATAATTGACAAATAAAATTGTAAATGAAATAGAATTTTTACAAAATATATTTGTGATACTTCTGTGAGATAAATTTTTCTTGCCTTAAATGTTCGATACTGGATCAGGATTAAGAAAATTAAAGAATTATTTTTTGTTTAGATATATGGGAATGAATTTTATATCCATTTTCTCAATGGCAGCCTCTCTGTAGATTGATAGACATTTTATAGTTTATAAAGTGTGTTTATGTCAAATGAGTGTTGACCAGTTAATTTTACCTCAAGTCAATGTTACAAGGATATTCAGACAGAAAGTAATCATTTTACTCTTCTTCATTTTTTTTTTGCAGTGGGACTTCCCCTCTTGCATGCCTGAATGCAATGCTGCACACGAATTCCCGAGGTGAAGAGGGCATCTTCTATAAGGTTCCAGGTAGAATGGGAGTATACACTTTGAAGGTAAATATTTTTGTTAGGGAGTCATTTAAAAAGTAAAAACAGGGAGTGACTACATATAAATAATATTTACATTATAGAGACAGAATTCTGTTCTTGAAGAACTTATTTTCAGGAAGAAGATTACCTCTTCGACCCTGTATCTAATACATTTTTTTACTAATCTGTAACCATCTGTAGGTAGATCAGAGAAGTAACTTTATTTTTTATTCTTTATGATAATATTTTCTTGAAAGGATGAAATGAAAATGACTTCCAGTGACTTTTTAACATTTGAATAATAATGAGTGTTTCTGTGGAGCATACAGCCTTGATGCTTTATATTACTTCCTCATTTAATTCTCAATTACAACTCACAGTTGTGGTTATTATTCCTTTTTTATAATGGAGAATACCGAGGTTTAGAAGATTGGATTTTTTTTGCCCAGGGTTGGCCACATAGTATCAGAACCAGAATGTGAACCCAGATCTGACTGAATACCTGAGTCCGTGTTCTTTTTACCATAACAGGTTTGCTAATTTCTAATTCTTGCACTGAGAAGGGATCTTGACTTATCAGTGTCCTTTCAGTTACAGACAAGAACACCAACTCAAATAAGCTTGAATAAAACAGAGAATTTATTAGTTCATATAACTGAAAATTTTACGGAAACTCAGCCTGGATCCAGGAGCTTAAATGATGTCATCAGGGATTGGTCTCTCTGCTTTCTTTTGGCTTCATTCTCAGGCAGTCTGTCCTCATTGTACATGATCACTCCCAGCCCCCACCCCTGCAAGCTGTAAGTCTGGAGAGAAGAAGTCTCCAGTAAGTCTGGAGAGAAGAGTCTCGGGAACTAAAGCAGGAGCCCTTTAGTTAGTTCTGATTTGGCTTAATTGGTTTGGCTTGGCCCGTGTGCCTATACCTGAATGATTGCTGTTGCCAAATGTATTGAGTCTTCTGATTAGACACTTTTAGGTTCATGATCACCCTTGATGTGAGGTTGAGTTAAGCCCTCCCAAGGCAGATGAACTGAGGAGAGGGGTTGTTTTCCAAAGGAAATTTATCAGCAGAAGGAGAATTAATGCTTCTCATGCAATGACTATGTCCATGTGTATGTGGGACTCTGTCCCCTCTTACCTTTTTAGCTTTGAGCTATAGTCATCACTATGCTGAGTGGTTGTGTGTAGCCCACTAACATTAAAAAGATGTAACTTACCTATAATACCTCCTTGTTGAATTTCCTGGGATCCCAGGGTTCTAGTCCTACATGGAGCTTGCTGCATTTCTTTTAGGTTTTAGCTGTTCTAGACTTTCCATATTGTTAATAACATTTATTAAATGCCTACTCTATGCTGGACACTGTAGAGGCTATAAAGAAGGATAAACTGTGGGCCATGATCTCTTGAAGCTCACGTAGTTATTGGAATAATTGCATACTGACGAAATATACTGTGATATAAAGTACTGTACTATAAAGTACTGTGATAGCCTAGAGAAATAAAGATTAATTTTGAATAAAGGGATCTAGAAAGTTTTTGTTTGTTTTTGTTTATCTTAAACGTGTAAGATTTGAGTTGAACTTTGGCAGATAAGTAATGGAGGAATGTCCTTCAGGACCAGGAAATAGCTGACATAAAGGCACAGATAGAAGGATTCAGAATGAATTTGAAAGTAGAGTAAATTGGAGTGGTTAGACCATAATCTGTGTGTGGGCTATTGTGTAAGAAGTCAGGGGCAGGGTAAACGTTAGGTAAAGATCAAACATTGGAGGCTTTTGAAAACCGGACTGAGCAGTTTTAGAGAGAGAGAGATTGAGTCAGTGTGTTGAGGAGATGGCAGAGGTTTTTCAGGAGAATAGCATGATCAACTTTGTGTTTAGGAAGATAATTCAAGTGGGATAGATTTAAGGGTAAAGCAGGAAAACTTGTCAACAAGATGGTTGTGATTGTTTGGAAGAGATAATTGGCCCGAACTACGAGACTGGTAAAAGAGTTGGAGGCGAGGGACGTTAGAGAAATAAAATATGTACTATTTGGAGTGGGTAGAAGACAAGGTGAAATGATTCTAAGATTTGCATTTGATCCTGCAGGGATCACAAGTGTAAGAAAATAAGATAGTTATATTTGAATTTAAAATACTTGTTGAACCTGCAGGTCAAGAGGTCTGGCTGGCAACTAACTCTGTCAAAGTTGTTCTGCATTTTGAAGGAAAGAATAGAAAAATATGGAGTATGTATTTTAAGAAGTATATAACATGAGAAATGGCTCAGAGAGAAATGTCACTAAATAGAAAATAACAGTTCCTTACTAGATCAAAGGTTACTGTCTTGCCTATAATGTCGTGAGTGCCAGTTTTAGGTGGGAGGCTAACTTGTCAGAATTATTTTTTATCTGATTATAAAAATAAATTATGTGGGAAAATAAATATATTGAGAGGAATAAAGAACCATCCACAGTTTTATAACTTAGAAATAACATTCACTAATGTGTTTATTTATGTGTGTATATTTTTGTATACTACATAAATAGATAGTAGCTAATATTTATTGAGCTCTTATCATATGCCAGGCACTAAGCATTTTACATTTATTAACTCTAATTTAATTTCCAAATAGTCTTTTAAGTTAGGTACTATTATCCCCATGTTATAGACAGAGAAACTGAGGCATAACAGGTTCAACTTTGACCAAGGCTGCACAATTAAAGATAAGGCTAGAATTCAAACCCAGAAAGTCTTAATTTCCTAATTCTTGATTTTGCAACTACCTTATTATGTCTCTCACATACTTTCAAGACACAAGTATCCTTTCTGATTAGCATTCTTACTACTGAATGCAGAAATCAAAGATTCACATGATTTTTTAAAAAAATGATTCCTTTTGTATTTGACTCTTGCTACTTACTAACCAATATTCAGGAACCCACTAGGTTCAAATAATGCACTATTTCCTACTACCGAGACTCTTAACTGAATTCACAATACATAGTGGTACTTATGTACACACAAATACATATATATATTACATGGATGATGGATGTACATACATTTTACAAAATAGTTATTATGTAGTTTTTTATCCTGAACATTTCATCCTTTACTTGGACTTACGTATACCCAGTTTTTGTCTAATTTAAGCCTCTGTGTTGTGCCATGATTGTCATGTATAATTTTTATCTTTGGATATAGATGGAAACATTAGCTAATTTGAGCCAAAGAAGAGAGATGACATTGCTGGTTCTGTTACTGAATCCTATAGTACTAAAAATTAATCAACACAATTAAGTTGCAACAATGCATATCAGAAATTTAATTCCTATTTGCTGAAATGGTAATAATTAATCCTAATTGGATGCCTACATTTTCAGAAAGATGTGCCGGATGGGGTGAAAGAGCTATCAGAAGGTTCAGAAGAAAGCAGTGATGGTCAGTCAGATTCCCAGAGTTCTGAGAACAGCAGCAGCAGCAGTGATGGTGGCAGCAACAAGGAGGGAAAAAAGAGCAGGTGGAAGAGGAAAGGTAACTCCACCTGATCCCTCAACAAAGTTCTGAATGCTGTAGGACAAATGCCCTTGTTAGTAGTTCCTCTTTTTCCAGACCCCAGGGTCAGTCTCTTTCCCTTACCATTTAAATCAGTGCTGTCTGGTAGAATTTCCTGCAGTGATGGAAATGTTCTGTGTCTATGCTGTCCAACCCAACACAGTAGCCACTAGCTACATGTGTCTATTGAGCACTTGAAATATGGCTAGTGTAACTAAGGAACTGAATTTTTAATTTTATTTTAAAATAAATAGTTGCGTTTGGTTAGTGGCTACCACACTGGACAACCCAGCTCTAGGTTTTACCTGGGTTTCTTTTCAACTCTTGACCATCCATAGCCTTTTTTAGGATGCTCTTATTTTATTTTCCTCTTTAATCCTCTCTTCTAAAAATTTGAGCACTTACTGCTCTAACAGCTCTCTCCTTACTAGGAAAAGAATGCTTTTCATTTCTACTAGCAAAGACTAAATTTAGTCTGCTGGTCTTTGCTCTCATCCCCTGCTTGGTGTCTGCTTCATAGCTTACCCAAAAGACTTCCTTTAGGGAATAATGTCTTTGTTGCTGCAGCTTCCCTGAGATGGATTTTCCACTTAAGGATACTTTTTATTACCTATTCTTGCTAATTATCTGTAGCTTCTTGTCAGAGTCTTCTTGAAGAGGGCAAATCGTTTTTATCCCAATATTTATAAATTGAGCCATACAAGGCAAGGACAATTTTAAGCCAAGTCATGATGGTTCCTTTGTAAGGACTGATATAGTGATATTCTAGAGCAAAATAGACATGCAAGAGTTTGCCTAACTTGGCTGTCCTCTTAGGTTTGAGTTATAGGTGAGCCGTCTTTGGATTTAGAAGTTAGAGTTCTGTTTGTTGGAATACTTGACTCATTAATTTTAAGTGCTTTTAGAACTCTTGATGTAGAACTATATCAGAAAAATAGTCTGATTCATTACTATACCTATGTTGATGTGTGTGTTACTCCTGGAGAGAATTGAGATAATTGGTGGCATCATCTGTGTTCTCTGGTATAGCTACTACATGTGCAAAATTTGGGCAAATTTTGTAACCAGAAGATTTTAGCTTTAAGATCACAACCACTTGGGAGAGCAACCCAGAGCTCAAATGTTAGAGACAAAGGCAAGACAAAGCTGGGATCTCTGACCAATATTCTTGATATATATTTTTAAAGTAATCCCTGTCAGTAGTGAAAGGAGGCGTGGTCCTGGGCCTTACATTCCTCAGAGTCCACCTTTTTTGGAAGGGTGGAACCAAAAGTGTTAAGGGCTCTGTCTGTCCTCTGCTTCTCCCCAGTTTAAACTTTCCTTTTTAGTTTGGAAATTATTGATCTAAGATTAGGAACCAAGCCAAGTCATCAGGCAAGAGAAACAAGATTCATAGTTTCTAGATGTGGCTGGAAACAGGAAAGTCAATATTAAAGGAGGCCAGACTTGTAAACTGGGAACAAAATTGTGGTCTTGGAGGTCTTCACTTTTCAATAGCCACATATGCTGCAGTAGCAGTTTTGAGTAGTGGCTGTTAACATGGTTTCTAAAGATTATCTCTAAGAATTTAAGGTAAATGTATTGTGAGATTGGAAGATCTAAGAAATAACGATAGAAGTCAATAGCTTAATGGGTAGGTTGAAATAGCATAACCTTGCCCTACACTCTGCATAGTAATAGAAGATATTAACAGCAAGGTAAGAGCAAATTCAAAAATATGGTCCAGATAAATTGTTTTGGAACTGCTTTTGATTCATTCCTCTTTTAGAAATTGTCACGGTATTGAATATTTATCCTCAGTTTACATTGAGATGAGAAGTTCTGTAAAGATCTTTTCTGGTTGTAGGTAGTCTTTTTTTTTTTTCTTTTGTGAGGAAGATCAGCCCTGAGCTAACATCCGTGCTAATCCTCCTCTTTTTACTGAGGAAGACCGGCTCTGAGCTAACATCTATTGCCAATCCTCCTCCTTTCCCTTCCCCCTCCCTCCCAAGCCCCAGTAGATAGTTGTATGTCATA